CCCATAAGGTTCAATGTAATTACCGTTAATCCGTTCCGGCGTCCGCGGACCACGCATCAGGAGCGGAAAAACGGCCGCGGACCACGCAGCTGGGCGGAAAAACGGTCGCGGACCACGCAGCAGGGGCGGAAAAATGGCCGCGGACCACGTGGCAGGGCGGAAAAATGGCTGCGGACCACGCGGCAAGGCGGAAAAACGGCCACGGACCACGTGGCACGGGCGGAAAAACGGCCACGGACCACGTGGAACGGGTGGAAAATGGCCGTGGAAAATGGCCATGGACCACGTGTCACAGCAGAAAATGGCTGCGGATCCGGTTCGTAACCTGAGGTAAATGTTTGCGGCCAGAGCTGGTCGCAACCCGAAAAGTTCGTTAGCAGAGGCGTTCGTAACCCGAGGTACCACTGGTACCAACATTTATGTCTCCTTTTTTTCCTATCTGTTGTATGTTTTTGTGCATTCTACACACTTGTGTAATGTCACCTGAAATCTCAGAAAGGTCATAAGGTATGTTAGGTAAATTAATTTGTTTTGTTTTTTTAATTATGTAAGATACAAGATATTTCAAGGTCACAGATAGAAAAACAGATTGGAGTATCCCAATTGTCCATCTGTCAAGGTGGACTAAGGTTACTAAGACATACTGGGAATATATAGGAGTTAAATAGATATAGATATAGACCTGAAGTTTAGAAATTATCTCTGAGGTGTTATTATGCAGAAGTATAACACCTCTTTCATTCAGACCCTCTGCCAAAAAAACCCCACAGGCCTTTACCAAGAATTAATGAGATTATCTAGATTATCTTTTCAGGCTGGTTTCAGGCTGGGGTACGGTATGGAGACAGCAAGGGTTGTGTTTGTTGATGACCTTTGGTGGAGCTGGAATGGAAGTCATTCTAGACCTCCTTGATCTTTCAATAACTTTCAGTACCATTGATCAAGATATTTTTTTCTGGACTTGCTGCAGGGATTGGGAATGGAAGGCACCATATTGTGGTGGTTCTCCTCCTTTCTTTGCAGTGTTAATTGGGGGAGGGGGAGATTGAGCCCATGTCCTCTCATTTGTGGAATGCCTCAGATCTCAACGCTCTTGTCCCTTTTGCTTAACGTCTACACAAAATGGCTGAGTGAGGTTATCCATCAGTTCGGGGTCAGGTATCATCAGTATGTTGATGATACCCAATTGTAGATCTCGACCTCAGGACAGTCAACTGATGCTATAGAGGTCCTGTCCCAGCATCTGGAGCTATGAGGAACAGACTCAATCTAAATCCTGGCAAGATTTGAGTGGCTATGGATATGTGCCCCCCTCCCCCCCCCAGTTCTGGGGACTTGATGTAGAGTGTAGAGGGAATGGTCTCAAAGGACAGGAAAGAGCTGCTACCATGGCAATGGTCAGATAAAAGGGGCATGAGTCAGGGCCAAGAAAGTAACATGACTTGGACAAGCCCCTCCCTAGTTCATACAAAGATGGGGGGAAGTGCATTCAGACTTGCAAGTGTCTGTTACTATAGCTTTACAGTAAAAGTATTACTGACCTACATGGCTCTGATCTCCTAGTCTGGTCTATCTTGAAGGGCTGACACTCTCCATCTTTAGGCTTTGATGGGGTTTCATTTCCTCACTTAGGACTGGTGTGCAGTCTAGAAGTTGTTTTGGACTCACAGCTCCTGCTCACAGAGCAAATGGCAGCTTTGGCTAAGATGATCTTTGCACAGATTGACTGTCCCAGTTGTACCCATTTCTGGATCAGGAGCTCCTTCAGATTGTCACTCATGTCCTAGCCACCTCATGAATGGACTAAGGTTGCTCTTGAAGACCACTTGGAAGCTATAGCTGGTCCAGAATGCAGCTCTCTTGGCAGTGATGGGCCTGCCATGATATGTCCATGTGATGCCATTTTTTTGCAAGCTGCACTGGCTACTAGTTGGCTTTTAGGTGCAATTCAAGGTGCTGATTATTTGTTTGCTTGTTTATTATTAAATTTGTATGCCGGCCATCTCCCCCCAG